AAACACAGAGTCCGGTGGAACATTTGAACTTAACAACTGAATAAATTGAAGCCCAGAAAAATTCTGAAGTTTGACCACGGTCAATCAATATGAAAGAGACTAAAAAGTACTCTTTTTGATAGAATTAAGTACCAAAAATATGTTGTTCTGTCAAATACACCAAAATAAGACAAACCCAGAGTGTAACTCCCCCAAGATAAAGAAACTCCTCAACCTGAGATTCAGCAGAACACTTTCCAAACTCCCCGCTGCACAGCACTGCTTTAGTAGGAGTAGGTGGAGCCAGGCCACTATATTCTGAAACGTTCTGGAGGTGATTCTAAGCAGCGCCCAGGAGTGTCAACCACTGGGATAAGAGAGTGCTGCCAGGTTCTTGGCTCCTAATCCACCTCACTACCTGCCATGGGGATCCATTTACATAAATTATTTCATCAGAGAACATTCTAAACCTTTTTTCAAATAAGAAAAATTTGTTCTCTACAAATTCAAAATCATTTTGAAAAGATTAAGATTTTCTGTTTCAACAAAATATGTAAAAGGATGTATTAATCACAAAAAATAAAGTTTCTTCAGTCTTCCTCTATAGGAGAGAAAGTAGCAGCCAATGAAAAACTGACTTTATCCATTTATGGACATGAAGGCTAGCATTACATACTACACAAACTGAATTAAAGCTGGATCAGGGGATAGATTTTAAACATGAAAATAAGAAATGTTCAGTAGGGAACTAGCCTCCAGTAATCAACTGATTGTAACTTTTTAGCCTATTTCTGATTTAGTTTTATAGACATAAATATCATGGAAGGGGCAACTAACTGTAGAAGCGGTTGTGAGCAGGGCTTGCTTTACGTTTTGAATGAGTGAACAGTTGTTATACATGAAGTCTACACCATAATCAGGTACGCAGTAAGGCCTAAATTTCAATAGCCTCTTTCACATAGCCTTTACTATGTCTGTAGTTGGCAATGAGCCAGGTGCTGTAAGGAACAGAGAACACATTGGCACACAAATCATGCAGACGTGTGCACAGGTTGTACAATACACAGCTCTTCCATCTGAGCATTCAAAAAGGCCAAACAGGGTGACTTCTCATACCTATAAAGAATGAACTCACTAGTGTCTCTGTAAGACACTTTTAAGAAGTCAATTTATTAAGATATAGTTACATATTAAAAAATGCACCCATTTTAAGTGGGCAGTTTGAGGAGTTGTGAAAATGTACAGCACACTTAAGTAACTATCACTGTTAAGTAACAATCGACATATAGAATACTTACTCTATTTAAAGAATTCCCTCACGCCCCTTTGCAGTCAATCCCCAATCCCAGTTCATGGCAAACAACACAGGCTTTCTGTCAATATAGCTTAAGTTTTGTCCATTCTAGAATTTCATATAAATAAAATCGCACAGCGTGTAGTTTCTGTCTGGTTTGTTTCTTTTTTCACCAACATAAGGCTTTTGAGATTCATCTGTATTGGTTCCATGGCGGCTCCATGTATTGGTAGTTCATTTCTTAGGGTAATATTGCACTGCATAAATATAAAAGAATTTGCTTGTACATTCACATATATAATTTGAGTTATGATTTTTTGTTACTATAAATAAGACATAAATCTCTATGTATATGTATTTATGTGGACATGTGCTTTTATTTCTCCCAGGTAAATGCCTAGGAACACAGTTGCTGAGTTACATAAGTATATGTTTGACTTCATTTAAAAATGCCAAATTGAACATAAAATAAAAATACCAAATTGTTTACCAAAGCACTTACATCATTTTTATATCCCCTGCAAGCAAAGTATCAGAGGTTAAATTGTTCCACATGCTTGTCAACACTTGGTATTGTCAGTATTTTTAATCCTAGCCATTGCTAAGGAGAAAAAGTAGAAACCAGTGCTTTAAGACTGCTAATCAACAGAAGCATGTTAGTTAGAAGCATTTTACACTATTCCAGAAGCCATGTGGGAAATTCCATGAGAAACACTCAATTCTATGCATGAACTAGAGATTTATTTCTCTCCTTACACAATTACAAATAAATAACTCAAGAAAGATCTTCTTATTTCCCATACCCCAGAACCTTTTTGCATTCCTAGAGCGGTTATACAACCCACTCTGGAAATAATGTCTTATGTTCACAGATTCTAACTCTCAGATTATAAATTCTGCCAGACACTGGAAGGGGGGAGGGAGTCACACAAGAAATAAAAAAGACATTGCATATCAGTGTCTTACATGCATACGTTGGCAAGCATTTAAAACTATGATAATCTTCCCTTCTTTAAAGGAAACTATTTATGCTGTTTTATAAGGGGTTAAGTATTATTTGTAGACATTGCCCTAATTTGGACAGATTTTGCCTGATCAAAATGGATAGCTGGTTTTCATCAACCAAACCACAAGAGCTGAAAGGCTGGGCCTCCCTGGGAAGCCTAGGTGGTTCACACTAACAGCAGGAAGGAGACTGTCACCGAAGGGCTCTGCTTTCACTTCACAGCCTCCTGCAGGAGTTCAGCTACAAAGAGGTCATCCTTAGACTGAAGAGGAGAAAAGGAGAAACTCAAAAATCCAGCTGAGTCTTTTAATGAGGCTGCCATTCCCTCTACCTGGAATGTTCTCTGCACCAACATCCTTATCTTTTCTGAGCCAGTGATGCGGCTCTGGGTTCTTCCAGCCCAGCCAAATTCTCCTTCCACATGACTGCATCTCACTATATTTTTCCTTGTTAGCCTTTTTACAGTTATGAGTATGTTTACTGTAATGAGTAACTTATTGATGTTCATTGCTCCTTCCCCATGAAACAAGGGAAGCTTCGTGAGTTTCTCTCAGAACTGAGCCCCCACCTCCTAGCGTGATCAATAGATAAAAGTACTTAATAAACATCTGAGTAATTAATGAATTACTTGTTAATAAAAACATTCCCTTATCAGAGATGTGACCTCTATTCCTCTAAGATTCACATAAGTTAGAAAACAAAGGTAGCTGCTTTTTTCTCAGTTATAAGAAAAATCAAAGTGCAAGAAACTTCTGGGCGTCAGAGTTGCCTAGCATTCTCCCGACCTAATTTCTATGAACTCATCTGCTTATACATCAGATATACTTATCAACCTTTCCTCTCGAAATTCAAATCCATGAGGAGGATGAAACCTTTCAGAACAAAAGACTTTCCTCCATTAGAATGAAACAAAAAAGCAATTCTCATAGTTTCAGACTTTAAACCTGAAGGTCTTAGGTGTAAAGGAAATGCAGTTATCCAGTCCTTCTCTCCTCCGGCAGAGGAGATTTTTATGCCGCTCACTGAGACCAGGTGGTCAGAGCCCCCACGTCACCTGTGCAGACTGCACGATCCCACACGGGCTAGCAACGGCCGGTGCCGCTACTGCACACGAAACCTCCCTCTTCTGAAGCTGCAGACATGTTCTAGGAAAACCTCTAGGGCATTCTGGACCATCCATCTTTTCTTCAACTACCCTCTTCAAGAAATCTCCATGAAACGTTGAGAGCACAGAGCTAAGTAAAATTAGAATCACTGTGCATCCATGTTCAACTCGGCCCAAACACAAAACAAAATTTACCACAATACCCTTCTATCGTTACTGGTGCGAGCAAACTCTAGAATCTGAATTTAAGAAGATGAAAATATTTTTTGGGGGGGATCTTTGGTTGTTGGCGTTCGGGTCCTGGCCTGCGTGCCTGGGTTGTGTCGGCCTTCACTCCCCAAGCCGTCAAAATATTTTTAAGACTCAAATGTCATTAACAAGATACTAGGAAGGTATTAGGAAAGGCTACTTCTTCCTTTCACTTAGTCCTTAGATATAAATAGCACCCTATCACATGCCGGGCACTGTCTAGCACGCGAAAGGCATGCAAATGTCCTCTAACAATAACCAGATTTTATTAACCTGATCTTTATTTGGGATGAAGAAAGAGAGACCAACATTTCAAGCTCAGTTCCCCCAAATGCATTGAAACGAAAGCCTTCTTTCAACCATGGAAAAGGCATTATTACCAAAGAGCTAGGTATGGTCTCATTCCATTTTATACTAAGATACAATCTTATTATTATCTTTACATGTTTTTTCCAGAAAAAAATGCTGCTTCTACCTTGAAATAAATTTTGATACACTTAGATGATCATGGGCTTAAATTTTTTCTTAAAAGCTAAAAAATGGGTTCAGAAATAAAGTTTTATTCCCAAGCCACAATTGAATGAAATTTTAAAAAAAAAGATGAATTAAGGCAAGCTTCATCTTTCATTGCTCAGTTACAAAAAATATCAGAAATACTACAAATACCCCCAGGTGTTCAAATTAGCATCAACCATATCTCCATGGAAAACTTGTCCAAGTTTAATCTAAAAAAACTTGGTTTGAGTCCACAGTAAATTCTACAGATCTTCTTTCTACAATCACAAATAGAAAGAGAGAAAAGAAAACCAATCCAACAAATACTGAGCTGAACAGACACAGATGCTTCTTCCTGCCAAGGAACTGCTGTCAGGCAAAGCAGTGATCCGTGAGCTCAGAGCACTTCCTCACATTCCATAATGTGTCGATATTTCTCGAGACAAACTATTACTGACTATTGGTAACTGTTCAGAAAAAGAAATTCAATGAAACTCAGGCTGCCAGTTTATCAAAATACCAGCAATTGTTCTAAAACAAAAATCCTGGAGGATACCCACATTCTGTCAATGTCCCAGTGAAGGAAGTAGGGACAAGCACCTGTGTCTGCCAAACCCTTTACAGAAGCTCTTAATGAGTCAGAAAATATATTAAAATCAAACTTCATCACCTTTCCCAGATAAGGCAGCCTCAAATGTAGAGGTGCCACGAGTCAGTGAGGATCAGGGAAGTCAGCAGAAAAATAAAAAAGCAGTGTGGAAGAGCAGACATACATGTACAAAACCTGGGTATAGAACCCTTCTGGATACCCTAGAATGAACTGTTTTAAAAGAGACGTTGTTTCAATAATATCAATATCCGGCTTTCATTACCTGACAGGCAGATGTAAGTTAAGTATTCGCCTTGACCCCCAGTTGCCAAGAAAGGAATCTTTTTCTTTGTTCTCCTCTTGACCTGGACAGCTCCCAGCATCCTTTCATCAAGAGGTGCAAAAATTTCTTTGCTGATGGCAGACTTGGCACTCATTGTAGAGCTGGAGATGAGAGCTCACAGTGCGTTTTCTAAAGGAGACAAAGGAAAGGCCAGTTGGAATTGAGAATATTGTAAGGGCCCACACAGTGTCAGAATGCGCAGCAAGTCCATTTGCAGGTGAAGTAGATTTCAATTTGTGGTTTAACTTCTCTCTTGCTTGAAATGCATTACAGAATCATTAAGAGCAAGCTATTAGCATTTGAAATAACTATGAGAAAATACAAATAAAAAGAAAATACTGATTTACTCGCTGGAAATGTTAAACTCAGTGTGAGATGAGCAGCATAAAACAGGATCAGGGGAGTTTGTCCGTCTGTCCCCCAACTGCATCCACCTGCATTTAGGTTGAACCAGCATGCAGTACCCACTCTGCTACTGTCCTGTAAGGAACATGGTTTCACACGTCCAGGTGAGAAGTCTTTCCGCTGTCCAACAATCCTTAAAGTCAAGAAGTTCCTTACGCTTTTTCAAAATCTCCATTAACTGCAATATAAACCTATTTCTGTAATTCTATTCATAGTGGAAATAATTATATCATCTTCTACATAATACTAACCTTGCAACAGAAGGCCATTAATATAATCACCCTTCAGCTGCTTTGGCTCAGGCTAAGTATTTAATCCCAGTGTATTTCTCAGCTCCTTTCAATAGGTCCTGTTTTCCAATGCTCCTCTGCACCTACTTGCCATCATCTGGACCCTTGCAAAATTCTCCACATTTTCCTTTAGCCAAAATGGATACAGGATTATACAAGTGTCTGACTAATGCTAAGTATTTTGGAAATGTTACCCAACAGTTCCCATATATTATGCTCTTGTGGTTAACTGGAAGTGTGTGCCCAATAAATAATTAAGAAACAAAGCAGTATTTTGCTGACTCACAAGGAGCCCCTCACTCCCCCCCCAAAAAAAAAAACTTGCACATACACAGGCCCCATGTAATATTTAGTTTTCCAGAAGTTGCACTTCCCTAGTGGTTTTAATTCTACTTATTTGTATCTATTATATTCAGGGTCAATCTAAATTTTAGCCTTATCTTCCAAAATGCTCACATGTAACTTGAGTGCATGTTTTTTGTCATCCTAGTCACAGTCTACACCTAACCGATAACGAATATTGGTTCAAGCAAGTAATAAATCAAAACTAATAGTACAGAGAGGGCTTATGGGTTGGTCATGCAGATTATACAGAGTATCCAGAGATCCTACACGAGGATCACTAATAACACGGCCATCAGCACACAGTAACAGCAGCTCACAGAGTTCATCAGCCTGCTGTAAAACTGAGCCAACTGGCCCTACTAGGTGCTACCTCTATGTTCAGTATTAGAGATATAAGAAATCATGAAGACATGGTCCCTGTTCTCCAGGAGCTGACTGCTGACTACATCAAAAGTTTCGCTTAGATCCAGATGATTGACAATGAAGACCATGGGGACATGTTTCCCAGTGCACGACTCACCAGTGCTACCTACACACCTGTCCGCCTATAACCAGACCACATCTATAATCTCATGGTAGAAAAGGAATATATTACAAAAAAGAGAGTATCTTCTGGTTAAAGAATTTTTTCCCAGTTTCAATTCTATAATAAAACAGATATTTTTAGTGTCTCCAAAATAAATAATAAAATGTCACTTTTTATTATCTACCTGTATCTCTGCTACATATTATAAACCCATACTCAGATCTACTCAAGTTCTGATCACGGCATTTTATCTTTGCTACCAGGCCCTTCACATGGTCTGAGAACATATAACAACAGGCGTAGGGGACCTGTTTTTCAATGTACCGACCACTAACTGATTCCCTAGAAGTTATCAAGTGGAATTTCGCCTATGATTTTCCTAAGTGGGTGTTATCATAGACGGGCATTTTCCTTTTTCACTGATGATAGCTAGTTCTTTTCTAGCTCCAAGGCCTCTCACATGTCCCCATTTGGGGACATGAGAAAAAGAAAGCCAGTGACAGCAGAGTGACCGCAAACATTCTATAAGCAATGCAGAAAGAAAGTCATATTCCTGAACTCATCAGGCATCCTCTGACCGGTGCCTTCCCAACTGGCATGGCCTTTGATTTTCCATCTTGGAGCCATACTTTTCTAAAATTGTGGTTAAAAGTAGAAAGCTATTGTTTTATTATGTAAAATATGCCAGGAAAAAAGTGACAGACATGTTTTACTAAACTCCTGGGAATTTTATTCTTGTTTTGAAAAACCAGTAAGAAATGAAAATGACCTTTTGTTGGAGACACACACACACTGATGTTCAGTGGCAAGTACAAAAAAGGAAAAAAGAAAACCTTCATTGAACTTGGGTTGAAATTTCAACCCTACAATGTAAGATCTATATGTGACTAGGTAAACCTCTTAACATTCCAGACCCTCAGCTTACTATCTGCTACACGGAGGTATCTTCCCCTTCCCATGGAACCATCGAAAGAATTAAATGGAACGATGCAAGCAAATCACTTCTTTCTAGTGCCTAAATTATAATAAATGGCTAAAAAGAAAATTTGTACTAACTCTCCTGCTATAATATGAAAAATAAAAGGCCCTATGAACTTGCATGAAGTGGGTAAATATAGCCATACATACCGGAAAGTATTTGTAAAAGAAAAATTCTACTCTTAATTTACCAAAGCCTCACTTTTCTCATTCATGAATATGAAACCCTTGAAACGTGGGTAAGTGGTCTAACATGTGAAAGTCTCTACACCGTGTTACGAGGATAAGAAGTCCAGAGGTGTCGCTCTTAGGAAACGCTCTAGTAGAGTACTATCCAAGTCATTTTTATGGGAAATTGTCAAAATTGTTGTTCAGGATGACAATACTGGGAACAATAAAGCAGCTACATGGCAGACCTGACAAGCTCGGCGGCCTAGGGTAACCCTACAGGGTGAACTGTTATAAATTCCTAACTGGGCAGGTCATGGTGGGTAGTCACACCCCAGAACTATAGCTTCCTTAGTAAAAGGTTCCTCTTTACCTTAAGCAAGGCCCGTCCACTGTCCTCCTGCATCTAGGCTGGCACACCTTTGACCTGTCAGAGTCATCTTTTCGGACCCTCTCACTGGAGCACATGCAACAAACTCCTCATGGTTCCCACTTGCCCTCCTAACACCTTCATCTACTTAAGTGTTAAATGGTAACTATCCTATACCCACCAATGTAAAGAAGTACTGCATTTCACCACATGTACCCTGCATGTTTTCACCCAAATTTTTGAAGAAAAAGTGGAGATGCACATTGTACATGGGTAGTACTAATTCTGTTTCTAGATAAATGTTTTTAATTCTTTTACTTATGCATTAAGTGTATAATTCTAGAAAGCAATAATGATATCCATTATTGAAAATAATACTCTTGGATATGATAATCAGTTGTGTTTCTAAATATAAGTAAATAAATAACTGAAATTTAAAAAATGAAAGATTTTTTTCCTGAAAGTCTGGGCCAAAAATGTGGGTGCGCATTATACATGGGAGCATGTTATACACGGCAAAATACAGTATGTATCTGTTCACTGGGCTTTTTATCCAATCCCCCATATTTCCCGACTGTGTTTTCTCTCCATTCCTGAATCCACCACCAATGTATTTCATGTAACCTTCCTTGTGTTCTCTTCTTCAATTCTAAATCTACAAAAAGAATTGCCAAGGTACCATTCTCCAGAACATTTTCTCAATCCGTTGAGAGCTTGCTTCAGGGCATGTCCTCTGTCTGGCTCACATAAACTCTACCAAACTCTTATAAAACTTTACTGTGGCTTTAGATGTTATTTTGTTGGCGATACTGACAGGCCTAGGCAAAACCGCACATGTACGTCTGTTTTCAATGCTACCCTGGCAATGGGAATGCACAGTGGCTTACAAAGGAAAGACTCAGAAAGTAAAAGGGCTGCTATTGTAGCTTTGAGGCGATAGTCTCTGAATGTCTCCCAAACCCGATTTCACATGCGAATGCATCTCAGAGAGCTTTTCAAAAATGCAGATTCCTGTGTCCCTCCTTCATACCCACCAAAGCAGAATCTTGGGATCTGTGTCTTTAAGGACTTGAACTGGTTCTTCTGTAGCCATCCTGACACCTAATTTGAAAGCTGATAGCTTAAAGAGGAACTGTGGAATAGAAAGGAATGTATTCTCAGGAGAGAATATAGGAAGAAAATGTAAAGGATTTTCTTTATATTCAACCAACCAGCTTTCTCAGGTCTTAAATTTTTTGTTGGTAAATCAACATCCAGTCCAAAACTGAGATCCCACTGCAGGGAAACAAGATGAATTCAACAGCAATGGTGAACCGATGGCCATAGTTACTCCAACCTACATCACCCTGAAGGGCAGCAAGTCATGCAACCCCAAAACATGCTACTTGCAGCTGAAGGCATCAGAAAGATAGCAAATGCAGGGGGAAGCTTTCTCTGAACTCCACTTACCTGCCTGAAGAAGAGTCTCCAAAATAAACCTGGTTGTTACAGATCCCTCCCCAGGAGTTTTATCAACCAGAGAAGAGTGACTGTTGTCACAGGAGAGAAAACTAGAAGTCAACACCATACTGCAGAGAAACTTTGTCCCAAATTATTCTACCTCCCCTCAATTCCTCTAAGGGCCCATTCATGTTTCCTATAAATAACTTACTTTCCCCAAAGAGATCTATATTCCTTTTCCCCTTTTCATATTACAATGGTATTTAATCCTAAAATCAAGCTACCTTGTGGGTTATCTCCCATGTATACATGAGGTATACCTGTTAATGAACTTGTTTGTTCTTTCTTATTCATTTGTTTTATATTGCAGGGGTCTCAGCTAAGAACTCGGAAGAGTAGAAGGAAGATTATTTTTCCTCCCCTACAACCCCATGAAAATTCTTTCCTTTACTCGTCCACAGCTTCTACAGGCTATAATTACAAAGCTTTCCCATCCAAGAAACCAACCTACAATATGATTTGCAAGTCAAAGCAGCCTTAAGTGGTAGTTGTGGGAACTAATTGCAGTTACTTTTAATCTTCCTCAAGTGTATTCGTGTAGCTGCTT